AAAAGACACAAATCGTTATGTAGAGCATGTGTACAAATATATCTCTATGTACTACCATACACCACTTAACGTCATGGCTAAAATTCATTACAATGCATTAGTAGAATGCAAACTCTGTTTTAACTATATATGGTTATAGTAATTCATTTGCTCTTTTGAAATATTCTTTTTTGTACTTAGGATTAGTTAAGCATACCAAAAAAAATACCGTTCAATTCGTTATTTTTTCGGAAAGTAACTAATCGTAGTAAGATAAATAATGAAATAGATTTTGTCACATACTTATTTTAGATTCACTTTGCTGTCAACTATAAAGTGATAAGTATCCAAGCCGCTCGAAACAAAATACATCCGTGAGATAGCACTACTGTCAACTATTCGTGGAACAAAATTATATAAAGAAGAATTAGTTCTTTGAATCACGAATAAATGTGTATCCTTAATGATTATTAATTCTCCTAGAAATTAGAATTGAAAATTTGATTATATATCCATTATTTGCATCATATTCAAACTCTAAAATAATTTCTTCTTTTAAGCCTTTTACGAATATTAATGTTACTCTAATGTTGTAATTAATTAATTACCATTAATGTTGCATATTTCATAGCAAAATATAGGTTTCGCAATATACGACACTTAATACATCTATATTTTCGTATCAAATAAGTCGTAGTAAATTAAAAATCGGTTACATTATTTAGCATACGCAACCCTACATTGCGTGTAGCAAATCTGTAAATGCAGTACCGACTATTAAGCGTATTGGACTACGCTACATTTGACGTTTATAAATGTAAATTAGGTTACGACAATGTCGACACTCCACCCCAAGCATGTATCAAATTCAATGTTTTGTTAAGTTTCGAACACCATTCTAATCTGTCTTCCTTCGTGTCCGCAGATAATAGATGCCTAAAAAGAACACGAATATTTCGATTATGCCTCATTTACGAACTTTTAATGCTTACATGCTTCATTTTTTTTTAAATACAAAGGATAGGTACCTAATTACTGTTGTATTTACATTTCTGATCATAATCAAGCTTTCAGTGTCACCAGGTTCTGCGTTTCTGGTTGTTTCAAGTAAGAATGTATTAGGACGCGCACATATATCTCGAGAAACTAATCCAACATGAGTTGTAGAAACACCTACAAATGTAAAAGAAAAATAAATGCTATTGTAGCAGATGTTTTGATAAAATGATGAATTTTGATTTAAGTTAAAGTTACTTTGCAAATCTAAACTTCCAATGGGAGTTTTCTTCCTTTCATCATCAGGATATTTCCAATATGATAATGTTGATCCTTTGAGCAAACACCATCTACGATGCCAAGCTCCAAAACCAGAAATGTCTTCGAACATAGTCAGAAATCCTCTGTGTTCGACCGATACTGAAAGCTCGCAAGAAACATGCATCTGTAGCCGTCCTTCTAATGGTGACTGAGGCGGTACCTAAACATTGTTGAGAAAATAACTTTTGTAATAATACGTCATTACAGCAATATGGAGCAACTCCACTCTTTTTATAATTTGTCTTATACATATCGCATTTTAAAAAATATGATCGTTCGAAGATAATCGAAAAAATAATATGATCATTCACTTTATGTAAATAGGAAGATAGCTCCAAGTAATAAATGTGGCGATGCACATTAAAGAAACAGCTTTTGGAGGTACATTCATTGCATGATTAATTTATTATTTTTTAAATAATCACGTATATTGTTGATTTCCTGAAATTACTCAAAAAAGGAGTTCCATATTGCGGCATTTCTTTCTATTCCGATTTTATATAATAAAAAAAAAAAGTGGATAGGCAGTATATGTATAGAAAATAAATATCGTATTTTAAACCTTATTTAATGTAAATTGTTGTCGATGCACTTCTTTTAGGCTAAAAATAACGTATCCCGACAATTGGAATGCGGGAGATCTAACAGCAGATGGGCCAGCCGGGCTTTGAACGTTCGGCATTATTAATCGGCTTTCTTGTTTTAAAAACTTTTTAGGAGTTCTATTTGCTAGCTGTGAAATATTTCACTATGTAGTAAACATATATTATAATAATATATAATATATATAATAATATGTATTATAATTATATATTATAATATATATGTGTGAAAATACCGTTACCTTTTTATTGCAGTTGTTGTTACTGCTATTGCATCCATTACCACCATTAATGTGATATTTAATTTCATGTGGCAAAATTTCAGGCTGTGTCTGGAGTGAATATATCTCGACAGTAATTTTGAAATCATTATATAAATCGTGTAACTTAAGTGTCGATGGAAATCGAAGGCACGAGTCACCAGGTTCTGCAACAACCACTGGAGTAACTACAATTTCCTCCAAATGTCGAATTAAACACACAAAATGAAGACATGTATCTACAATAAAATTATCAAATTAACAAGTTATTTGAACGTAATGTTTGCAAAAATTGTATTTAGCGATAATTACTTGTGCCATTATTGCGGAAGTACTCTCGCTTAAGAGGTAAAGTGATAGCAGATACTGTTAAAGAACCACTTTCTTGCACTTCTGGTGATCCAGGAGTGACAGGCTTCAATGTACCTTCTATTTTTAATCGTTGAACTTCATTTAAAGCAGCTTGCCGTCTGTGAGCTGTAGTTCAAAATTCATATATTATTCATATGTTATAAAATTGCTAATAATAATTAAGTTAGGAATTTATATTAACTTACTGGCAACGAGCAATAGCCTTTCTCCTTCTACTTGTTCTCTAGAACCATTGAATTCTACGGTAGAAGTACATAAGTTTAATGCTTGACTAGCTTGACCAATGATTGTTTGTTGCTTGCACACTTCATCTAGCAAGTTTTTTACTTTTTCTTGTACTAATATAGTTTCACTCTTAGCATTAATTTGCGTTACATTGGGAAAAGTATCTGGAGATTCTTGTGTTCTCGATATTATACGCACTGGTGTTTTAGGTGTCTAAAATTGATGTATACATTAAAATTAAGTGTCAAACGCGAATTCATAATTACAATATTTAAACAACCCACTTGCGATTGTTGGCGTCGATAAAAACTGACACTGTGCATTAATGGTACACAGTTGTCACCGTCTATCACATAAGTTTCACCTTGTTTTGGAGATTTGGGTGAAATCGTTTTTATAGGTGATCGATACAACGATCTTAAGAAAAGAGTATTAACTTTAATCCATATATTAACATTGTAATCGATTTATATCTATTTTATACCTTACCCTTGACTATGTTTGAAACTCGATGATACATTCGATGGACTTTTACCACCTTTGTTTAGCTTGGGTGGAGTTGGTCCTTCTTCTGTATTACCATTTGTACCGTGTGTTTCCTGTAGTGCAAGACATTCATCTAAATATTCATCCATTTCATCCAATACCGAAATATCGGAAGTTGTACTATCTGGATCTGGATCGATTGATCTCTAAAAACCATATTACCAAAATACTATAATTAAAACGTTAAAAATATACATATAATAAATAAATATATGTAATCCAGGCATGGGCAACAAACGTCATATATAAAACACTACCTATTATGCTCCATCTAAGATGTATCTAATAGTTATTGTCTAACCGTTATTGTCAATTTTGACAAAACAAAAACAATACACTCTTTTAGATGCAATCTTTGCCCATGTCTGACAAAAACTATTTAAATAATTAATATTACCATAGTAAATAATTAAATTTATTAATAATGTACCTTCTTATTTAAAAATGCTTGTTCATTTACCGCTCGTAAAATACTTCTGCCAAGACTGGTACTTAATTCCTCACATTCCTCTTGACTGTCGACTTCGGTTTCGTTCTCCTATTTACAATAAAATGTGTGAAATTAACATCACAAAATCATACCAAATATAACAATTTTTGTGAATTGAAGTTTTATTCAATTATCTGACTTGTACATAGTATTCAGCTTCTGTTGCTGTATCAGTGTCTGTTTTTTCATCTAGAGTAGCAGTTTCTGCTTCGGTACTATTTACTGTATACTCTGCATCTGTTTCTGTCTCAGTTGTATTTTCAATATCAGAGAGATTAGGATAAATATGTCCAGGTTTAGGCGGTGCGACACGAATACGCTTAACATCGGACACTGTTTTTACTTGTGCTTTTGGCGAACTACCTACTACTTTAAAAGAAATCGTTAAAAATGTTCTAATTACGGAACAAAATATAAGTCTCTTAATAAATACCTTGTCTTTTAACTGGTGAATTTTTTTTGCTTTGATTTGGAGAAGATCTTGAAGTAGAAATCTGTACTTGCGGAGGAGGTGGTGGCGGCGGTGGAACACTAAATTCCTATTTTAAAAACGTTAGACACATAATTTCAATTATCTTTGACATAAAAAAAACCATTTATTTATAAAATTAAGAATGTCTTTTTACATACAGGTGCAGGTGTTGGTTTGACAGGACACACTGGAGAGTTTTTAGGAGAATTCGATTTTCCTTCACTGCTTTCGCTTGTTCTAATATAAGAACCAGCAGCAGCTTGAGCCATTTCTTTATTTCTATTAAAACGTGTACGTAACATATCTAATTCGCGCTGTCTCTCCAGATAAGTATTACGCATAATATTATTTTCTAACTCCTGAGTGTTTAAACCTTGTTCAAACTTTTCTCGTTGGACATTGACAGAATTATTAGTGAAGTCAGTCTTAGTTTTTGCTGAAATAGAATTTTCAAATATATGATTAGTGTAAAAATGTATTATCAATGAGATTAACTTATAATACGCTTTCCTACTTAAATTACAATATTAAAAATACCTCCATTAGCCGAAACTCTCGACGCTGATCTAGCTTTCTCTTTCTCTTGCAGTTTCTTTGGTGGTACGGACATAGTAAGAGGTGCTTTCGGCAGTAAAGGCGCTTCTCCTTTATTTTTTTCAAAAAGCGCCATTCTCTCAGAAAGCGTCATCTGAGCTGGATCTTTTGCTTTCCCTTCTATATTTTTAGATTCAAATAGAGAAGCTTTACTCAGCACAGAGCCTGGGCTAGATTGAGCTGGACTTTTGGGAGAATTATTAAAGCCGAATCTCGGTGAAGGTCGAGAATTATTACTTGTGCTGGATATTGCATTTTTCGGCGTTTTCTCTGGAGTATTAGCATTTTTAAGTACATTTTCTTGCGCTTTTTTATAACTTTTTTCTTCATGATGTGTAGCATCTTCTTTAAGTTGTGTATATTGTTTAGACTGTGTAGATGAACTTGGAGAACCTGCATCTTTTCCCTGAGAACAAGCCTTATAGTCATATACAAGACGACTATTGCTTTTTGTACGACTAAAGCCTTGAGCCTCCTGTAAATATTTCCATCCAACAGACTCAATAATACGCGACATATTCCTTCATCTTTGTAACTGTTTTTTAGATTTACTTCACAGAACAAACTTTTAAAGCTTTAGTCATATACAAGAAACAAATGTATCAATAGAAATAGTTACCAATGTTTGTAATACAGTTTTATCCCATTTCAATTGTTTTGTTGAAGATGCTTCATCCTTTTTAGGACTACAGCCTTTACTGTTTCTACCTCCTGATTTGTATCCACTTGTGCTTGGTTGTGGTTCTGATATGCTTTTAACTTGTTCATTAAATTTTGCATGTATTCTATCTGCATTGGTGCCTGTTGATTTTGTCTAAGAAAACATCCAAATCAATTTATTTTACTAAAATATAATACAATTTTCAAAAAATTTGTAATAAATTTACCAAAGTTGGATGAGACAAATCATCTTCCCAATTATTAATGGTTGAAGCAAGAGCTGCTAGTCTATCAAGTCTAGCTCCTTTTTTGGATGGCTTTTTCTCTGTAGTCTTTTCTTCTGCATTGAATCTTTCTTCTGTCCTGTGGATAGGTGAACTTAATTCCCGAGTGCTGTCATCTATAAAAAGAAATTATTTAGCTTTCGTAAAACTTGATACCCAAAAACAATCTATAATAATGTAATAAACATCACTTGCAGCATTCACAAGC